CACAGAAAGGCTGAAAATTCCAAAAACCAGAATGCCTCTTCTCCTCCAAAGGATCACAATTCCTCACCAGCAAGGGAGCAAAACCGGATGGAGAATGAATTCGATGAATTGAGAAAAGTAGGCTTAAGAAGGTGGGTAATAACAAACTCCTCCAAGCTAGAGGAGCATGTTCTAACCCAATGCAAGGAAGCTAAGAACCTTGAAAGAAGGTTCGAGGAATTGCTAACTAGAATAACCAGTTTAGAGAAGAACATAAATGACCTAATGGAGCTGAAAAACATAGCATGAGAACTTTGTGAAGCATATACAAGTATAAATAATCAAATCGATCAAGAATATATATCAGAGACTGAAGATAAACTTAATGAAATAAAGCATGAGGACAAGATTAAAGAAAAAAGATTAAAAAGGAACTAACAAAGCCTCCAAGAAATATGGGACTTTGTGAAAAGACCAAACCTACGTTTGATTGTTGTACTTGAAAGTGACAGGGAAAATGGAACCAAGTTGTATTATCCAGGAGAACTTCCCAACCTAGCAAGACAGGCCAACATTCAAATTCAGGAAATACAGAGAATAACACAAAGATACTCCTCGAGAAGAGCAACCCCAAGACACATATTCATCAGATTCACCAAGGTTGAAATGAAGGAACAAATGTTAAGGGCAGCCAGAGAGAAAGATTGGGTTATCCACAAAAGGAAGCCCATCAGACTAACAGTAGATCTCTCTGGAGAAACCCTACAAGCCAGAAGACAGTGGGGGCCAATATTCAACATTCTTAAAGAAAAGAGTTTTCAACCCAGAATTTCATATCCAGCCAAACTAAACTTCACAAGTGAAGGAGAAACAAAAATCCTTTACAGACAAGCAAATGCTGAGAGATTTTTGTCAGCACCAGACCTGCCTTACAAGAGCTTCTGAAGGAAGCACTAAATATGGAAAGGAAAAACCAGTACCAGCCACTGCAAACACATACCAAATTGTAAAGACCATCAACACTATGAAGAAACTGCATCAACTAACAGGCAAAACACCAGCTTGCATCATAATGACAGGATCCAATTCACACATAATAATATTAACCTTAAATGTAAATGGGCTAGATGCCCCAATTAAAAGACACAGACTGGCAGATTGGATAAAGAGTTAAGACCTATCAGTGTGCTGTATTCAGGAGACCAATTTCATGTGCAAAGGCATACATAGACTCAACATAAAGGGATGGAGGAATATTTACCAAGCAAAGGGAAAGCAAAGAAAAGCAGGGGTTGCAGTCCTAGTCTCTGATAAAACAGACTTTAAACCAACAAAGATCAAAAGAGACAAACAAGGGCATTACATAATGGTAAAGAGATCAAGGCAACAAGAAGAGCTAACTATCTCAAATATATATGCACCCAGTACAGGAGCACACAGATTCATAAAGCAAGTTTTTAAAGAACTACAAAGAGAATTAGACTCCCACACAATGATAGAGGCTTTAACATCCGACTGTCAATATTAGACAGACCAATGAGAGAGAAAATTAACAAGGATATTCAGGACTTGAACTTATCTCTGGACCAAGTGAACCTATTACACATCTACAGAACTCTCCACCCCAAACAGATAGAATATTCATTCTTCTCAGCAATTTTTAAAATCCTCAGTAAAATACTGGCAAACCAAATCCAGCAGCATGTAAAAAACCTTATCCACCACAATCAAGTTGGCTCCATCCCTGGGATGCAAGGCTGGTTCAACATATGCAAATCAATAAAAGTAATCCATCACATAAACAGAAACAATGACAAAAACCACCTGATTATCTCAATAGATGCAGAAAAGGCCTTCAATAAAATTCAACATGCTTCCATGCTAAAAACTTTCCATAAACTATATATTGATGGGATGTAGCTCAAAATAATAAAAGCTATTTATGACAAACTCATAGCCAATACCATACTGAATGAGTAAAAGCTGGAAGCATTCCCTTTGAATACCAGCATAAGACAAGGATGCCCTCTCTAACTACTCCTATTCAACACAGTATTGGCAGTTTTGGCCAGGGTAATCAGGTAAGAGAAAAAAATAAATAGTATTCAAATAGGAAGAGAGGAAGTCAAATTATCTATGTTTGCAGATGACATGATTGTATATTTAGAAAACCCCATTGTCTCCTTAAGCTGATAAGCAACTTCAGCAAAGTCTCAGGATACAACATCAATGTGCAAAAGTCACAAGTGTTCCTGTACACCATTAATAGACAGAGTCAAATCATAAGTGAACTCCCATTCACAGTTGCTACAAAGAGAATAAAATAGGAATACAACTTACAAGGGATGTAAGTTGTATCACAATGAGATGCCATCTCACGCCAGGACCTCGTCAAGGAGAACTACAGATCGCTGCTCAAGGAAATAAGAGAGGACACAAAGAAATGGAAAAACATTCCATGCTCATGGATAGGAAGAATAAATATTAAGAAAATGGCCATTCTGCCCAAAATAATTTATTGATTCAATGCTATCCCCATCAAGCTACCATTGACTTTCTTTGCAGAATTAGAAAATAAAAACAAAAACAAAGGCTTTAAATTTCATATGGAAACAAAAAGAGCCCTTATAGCCAAGAAAATCCTTAGCAAAAATAACTAACTTGGAGGCATCACACTACCTGACTTGAAACTATACTACAAGGCTACAGTAACCAAAACAACATGGTACTGGTACCAAAACAGAGATATAGACCAATGGAACTGAACAGAGGCTTCAGAAATAACACTACACATCTACAACCATCTGATCTTTGACAAGCCAGACAAAAACAAGCAATGGGGAAAGGATTGCCTATTTAATAAATGGTATTGGGAAAACTGGCCAGCCATATGCAGAAAACTGAAACTGGACCCCTTTCTTATACTTTCGCAAAAATTAACTCATAATGGATTAAAGATTTAAATGTGAGACCCAAAACCATAAAAACCCTAGAATAAAACCTAGGCAATACCATTCAGGACATAGGCATGGGCAAAAGCTTCATGACTTAAACATCAATAGCAAGGGCAACAAAAGCCAAAATTGACTAATGGGATCTAATTAAATGAAAGAACTTTTGCACAGCAAAAGAAACTATCATCAGAGTGAACAGGCAACCTACAGAATTGGAGAAAATTTTTTCAATCTATCCATCTGACAAAGGGCTAATATCCAGAATCTACAAGAAACTTAAACAAATTTACAAGAAAAAAAACAACCCCATCAAAAAGCAGGCAAAGGATACGAACAGACACTTCTCAAAAGAGAAACAAATCTCAAAAAAAGCTAATCATCACTGGTCACTAGAGAAATGCAAATCAAAACCACAATGAAATGCCATCTCATGCCAGTTAGAATGGTGATCATTAAAAAGTCAGGAAACAACAGATGCTGAAGAGAACATGGACAAATTGGAACACTTTTACACTGTTGGTGGGAGTGTAAATTAGTTCAGTCATTGTGGAAGACACTGTGGCAATTCCTCAAGGATCTAGAACCAGAAATACCATTTGACCTAGTAATCCCATGATTATAAATCATTCTCCTATAAAGACAAATGCACACGTATGTTTATTGCAGCACTATTCACAATAGCAAAGACTTGGGACCAACCCAAATGCCCATCAATGGTAGACTGGATAAAGAAAATGTGACACATATGCACCATGGAATACTATGCAGCCATAAAAATTGATGAGTTCATGTCTTTTGCAGGGACATGGATGTAGCTGGAAACCATCATTTTCAGCAAACAAACACAGAAACAGAAAACCAAACACTGCATGTCCTCACTCATAAGTGGGAGTTGAACAATGAGAACACATGGACACAGGGAGGGAAACATCACACACTGGGGCCTGTGGTGGGGTGGGGGCTAGGGGAGGGATAGCTTTAGGAGAAATACCTAATGTAGATGACAGGTTGATTGGTGCAGCAAACCACTATGGCACATGTATACCTATGTAACAAACTTGCATGTTCTGCACATGTATCCCAGAACTTAAAGTATAATAGTAATGAAAAAAAGAATGGTATCAAAATATTTTTTCTTCCTTCTGCTCTCTCCAGTTGTAATGGTTGTATTAAAAAATAATGTTTAATATCAACAATACCAAATAAAATGTTTGTTTTCGAAGTTGAGTAAGAATACATTTATTTTCTTTTTAAATCTACTTTAAATTAATTGTTTATTTTTTATAATCACTTTTAAGTCTCAAATCGAATGTCATTTCTTCACTTTTCAATTTTAAATGCTTTATTATTTAAATTGCACTTATGCTTTAAATTATCTCTTTTACTTATTTACTTTTTTATTTAGTACTGCTTGTTTGTTTATTCACTTATTTTTTAGTTATCTTGCCAGCTTGTTTGTCATCATTGCATTAAGAGGCTGGTTTATAGAAGACATAAAATAATCGTTAATAAATACACTAACTGTTACAAAATAAAAGCCATTGCTTTGATACCTATAACATGTACCAATATCTTGAAATTAAAGAATGATGGACTATTCTGTGTTCTTGGGTGTCAGCAATTGACAGAACCAAGGCATTCCCTGGTCAGGATTAGGTAAATGCTTAGCTGAGTCCTAGGGGTTTCAAGGTAGTAAGGCATGATGGCTTCCTGCTTCAATCAAAGCAATTCTCACTCAACAGTGTTTCACAGAGATGTTCTGCATAAACTTTTGTTTGAAGAAAAAGTTCCATTGCTTAAAAACAGGAGGTTGCAGTACAGTGATAAAAAAAACCACTGTTTTAGGGAATTTGGAGCAAAAGGTAGCTGAAATGAGTTTACATTCTAAGTTATATTTTTCCCTTTAAAAGTTAATGTGCTGTCTTAATAGTGATTTTATACTATAATGACATAAAATTATTTCTGCCTTGGTTTGAAGATTTGGACAATTTATGTTTTTTAGAATTTTGGAGATAAATCAAACTGAAAATCTTTTACCTTTGGCTATATAAAAAAAACTGTAAGTTAAACATTATATTGGAAAATGAGAATTTTGGCTTCAAAGATTTCTCCTTCTACTGTGTTAATCTTTATATTTTATTTCCTTCTTTATAGAGAGAGCATATAAAAACATGTTCAGTGTTTCTTTGCTTTCCAAGTTACATTTTATCTTGAGTAGATTTAAAACCAGATTAGCTGTAATAGGATTCCAAGATGTGGGCAGATGTCTACTTGTCACAGACAATATATCTTGCAATCAGCTCCTTCATTATTTCATTTGCACCACCATAGATTGGCTGAACTCAGGCTTCCACATAAGCTCTGGATAAATCAGAAGATTATTTAATAAATAAATAAAAGATACTAGAAACTGTAAATTTTGTCTCACCAGGTAACTATTAATTAAACTATCAATTTAATGAAATACAAACAATAAAAGTCCTTCATAAATTACTTGTTTTTTCAATATAGCATTCATTCTAAATTGGAATAACAGTAAAAAAAAAAACTATTAAGATGTTAATAATCTGTATAGCTTCATTTTAATTTGATTAAAGATATTATAAATTTGAAATAACAATAAGTATGTTTCATCTGATTTAATTTTGTAAAATTCAGCACATATAACACTCTTCAAAAGTCTGTTTTAGATTAGGAAATGCACAGACTGTTTTAGTTTCTTATATGTTTTCTAAAAAAGTTGAAATCCATTTGTTTTGTAGAAAACAAAAGAAAAAAATACATATCTTCTAGCACTCCCACCACCACTATCAGGAATATAAACTGATGCTTTAGCAAATATTATTTCCCAGAAAGTTAGCAAGTAACTTGTTTTATGGAAATGGTTAATAGTTAACTTCAGCGATGTGTGGAGTGAAAATACTAAGTGGTTGAGTCCATTGCCATACCCACACCAAAGAAAAGCCCCAAATATCATCAGAAGTTCATTTTTGATAGTCATGATAACAACCATGCCATTGTACAGCTGTTTTTATCTTGTCTCATCTCATTTTATCCTCTTAGCTCTGGGATTGAGGAGGGTTAAATGTTAATACTGTTTTCCTGGTAAAGGAACTGAAGTACAGAGAAGTTAATACATTTCCTAATTAATGGTTGCTATTTAATTGTCACGAACACATCATTGGCAAACTGGAATGAGGATGTAGGTATCCTGCCTCTT